CTCTTTCCTCATTGACCCCCCTCCATGCTGTCAACCTGTCAGCAATCATTTTCCCTTGTCTTACATGACTCCTTTCCTTTCTCACTCTGCTTTGTTTCTTCTGGTTGTGTCTTGCAAAGCCAGGCAATCAAAATGTTGAACCTAAGGCAGTTCGTTTGGCTGCTATGAGTCCCATGGCTTGACTGACTTTCTTTAGAGTCTGTGATGGATAAATATGCTCTATATAAGAATAGGGATGTTACTATACCTTGTAACCATGTTCTTTAGCAAACTGCAGAATCAATGACCGCCGTTCTCTGGTAGTGTTGGTGGCATCAAAAACCTAGAAGCAAGTAATGAGATTTACTTACTCTGAATCTGGTATTGATAGATCATCTATTCTTTCTCCATTCTGTGTTAAGTGCAGGACTTCTGGAGGGAGATATAACTTGAACAGGGTATTGAAGGATAGGAAGGATTTGAAATTGCTTATGTCAATATTACAAACACTCATACAGCCTAAATATATATTAGATACTTTGAGAGTAACAAGGCAAGAGAAAAAATGTGGGTTTTTATTAGAGTCATTTTATAGGTGAAGTAACTGAGGCCTAGAAGGACTCGCTTTGACCAAAGTCACTAAGAGTTGCTGATGGAGCAGAGCTAGAACTGGTTTTCTCAACTGTTAGCTGAGGCTTATTCCTTCTTTATCACCTTAGGAGTCCTCAAGAACAGAAACAACTTCTTATCTTCAGTTTCTTTGGTATAACCATTTGCATATTTGAGGATCTCTTCTTTTAGAAATTGGAAATCCTGTTCCAAAGGTCTATGAGATTAAATTGACTAGGCGTTTTGGTAAATCTCTAAATAAATAATTAATTAAAATGAAAATTAAACAATGTTTTCACTGAAGTCTTAAATTCTGTTATAGTCATGGAGTAAGGGGATAAACTAGTAGAGCACAGACAGTTGGAAAAACACTTGCTCATCCATGTTTCTTGTGGCATTATTCACAATTGCTAAGACATAGAATCAACCCAAATGTTTTAGAGCAGATGAATGGATTGAAAAAGTGTGGCACATGTACTCTATGGAATACTACTCAGCCATAAAAAGCAATAAGATCCTAGCATTGGGTAAAAAGAAAAATGCATGAATATGGAAGATTTAATACTGAATGAAGCAAACCAGACTATGAATGGAGAGGTAAGACACTTGTGGGACACAGATAAGTTTTATTATCTGTTGAGGAGGATGTGTATGGTGGTCTCAACTGGGATGGACTGAGGTGTATATCATGCTGGGTAAAGTCTCTTCACAATCTAAATGCTGTATAGTGGTTTAATGTATGAAATATAAAGAGAGGCAGTGTATGTCCTCACTTTATATATACCAAATGTCTGCACTCTATGGCACAAACGGAAAGACTGTAAGATATAAAATCATGAAGAGCAAATGTGGATACAAAAGACAGTGTGGAAGGAGGGTGGGCAATGGGGGATGGGAGTGAGGGAATTAAAAGAGAAAACGCAAAACATTTAACTAACACAAAAATGGAAAATTATCTGGTGATGATAATGTGCTTAATAATATCTTTGACTGGACTAATACACAGTGTATTCATGCTGGGAAAACTCATTTTGTATGCTATAAAAATGTACAGTAATTAAATGTTTTTGTTTTTTGTTTTTGTTTGCTTGTTGGTTTGTTTTAAAAAAAGGAGATTCTAGAGTTACTCATGCTGGATTCCAGTTATGACTCTGCCATATACAGATTGTGTCACCATAGAATATTATTAAATCTGTGAGTCATCTTTCTGAGCTCTAAAATGGGGTATAATATTACTTAACTCAAGATGAGCATGAAATTAAAATATTCATATATGTAAAGAAATTAGGATAAAGCACAGTATACTGTAAATGCTCCTGCATATTTATTGTTCTTTATCTCAACAGACACCGAAGGAAAAAATTAAAATTTCTTTACCGCAACATGACCTTCCTCATTACTCAGATAGTTATGGACATCCTTCAGGGCTGCCAAGGCACACTGCCTGGAAAAGACCAAGAAAGAAACAGAGACAACCTCTATCCTCGAGGACGGATTCCTCTATCTTTTTCTGCATTATCTTCTATACCATCTCTCATATGTATTGCATTAAATTATTCATTTATTAAACCTCTGCATAGAATGCCATATGTTCTAGGCACCATGACAAGATTAGAGGAGTCACACAGTTGAAAGTGGCTCTGTGTACACAGCTTAGAGGCAGGTATAAAGTGACATACCCCCAAAAAGTTGAGTAATAACTGAAGTCATAATATTAAGGAGTCCAATCTTTGAGCTAATGGAGCTCAAGTCAAACTAGTTTATTAACCCAGGTGAAAGATGGGTACATAGCCTGTGAAGTGGAAGGCACTCCAGGCATAAGTAGCACTACATGCATAGGCATGACAGTGGCAATGTATTTATGGTTTCTGCAAAAGTATTTTTAGTTATTATTCATTTCTGAGTTCTATGATGAGGGGGTGAATCAATAAATGAGAACTAGACTCTGTTCTCTTTCTATGATGAGGGCATGAATCAATAAATGAGAACTAGACTCTGTTCTGGAAGTGCTCAGAGACTTTTAGGGAAGAGTGACCTGGAGGTTGAATTAATGTGCCTGGAGAGACTAGAGTGACCAAGCTACTGAGTCTTGTCTCAAATGCTAAGCTGAAAAGATTTTACTCTCCTGTCCAAAGTAGAAGACTGGTAATAGTTCTTTTAATAAAATTTATTTTATTTATTTCAAGAGAGTAAGTACCCCCAAACAGATCTTCATGCCACAATCTACCTCCAGCTTCATCCAGCCAGAATCACAGACATACATGTGTACACTCAGCACGTACAGGAACATGGAACCTTACCATGTGGCATCAGCACTGCAGAAAATTGTATTACCACTGTACCACCACAGCTGGCCACGTTAAATGTTCTTGACCAGAAGATGGTTATGGCCAGAAACAGGATGAGAATCTAGAGGACCTCCTCCCCAGCCCAGGTTACTTTCCCCTAGACTCTCATTATCTGAACAAAGACTTCCTTCAACCAAAAGGCAGCACAGGCCCCTGAAATGTTGGATACTTACTTTCTGATAAGTAGGGCCTCCGTGTTGTCTGGGAGAAAAAATTCATAGTTCTTGTAGCTCACTGCCTCTCGTCGATACTGGCCTAAATTAAACACTGAAAGTAGGGAGACCCAATGAAGAGGTTGAAAAGATCCCAGTGGTCCAAAAATATCCTTGCTGGGAGGAACCTCTGAAGTAGAAGGTATAATTTATAGCCGTAAATGTGCTTATAAAGTTTTAAATTGTTGTTACCAACTCATTTCCTCACAACAACTGAGTAGGTTATCTATCACTATTCCCATTTACAAGTAAGGGCATTCAAGTTCAGAAACAGGAAATAACTTTCACAGTTAATAAATGGGGATACAGGATTCACACTCAGGTCTGTTTAGTTCTAAATCTGGTGTTGTTCTTACTATTCTACTTTAACATAAATTCCAACTATTAAAGTGCCCTATTCCATTGGAAAGATAAAGAACTAAGATCTGAGGAGTAAAATCAATTACCATGGGCCAAATAGTGAGTAAGTTGTTGACAGAAATAAACTGGGCCTCCTGACTCCTAGACTCCTATTCCAATGTTATTTGATTTTTCTGTATCATGAGGGTGAATACATCTAAATTTCTAGACCATACTTTCCCATTTGTAATGCTGAAAAACCAGGGAAGAGGGAAGAAAAAGAGGATAAAAAGAATAAACAGCTAAAGAGGTAATATTTCATTCATTCATCCAATAAATACTTTTGATGTCTATTCTATGAAGCATGGTATGAATTCTAGGTCTCAGATTAACCAGACCTTTGTGATGGGGCCATAGAAAAGCTTATGATCCAATAGACCTCAGCTACAGTGGATGACTCACCACCTCCAAATGTTCTCTGCCTTCTTCCAGTGCTAAACCTTTTTTCAAATTGTTCTACTGGGAATGAAGAACTACAGCTTCACCCACCATGCCTACCTGGAATGAAGAAGAACTGAAGCCTCACCCACCATGCCTGCCTGTAAAAGGCTTGTTCTACTAAAAGAACTGGTTAAAATGCTACTATCTCCAAGAAATATTTTGGATAACCCCACATAGAATTACTCTTTCCTCCCTCTCACACTTTTACACAGCTCCGTATTGTATCTGTTAGAGTATTTAACAATTAAGATGAAAGCACTGTGTTTACTAATTTATCCACTGACTTTTTTTCTTTTTCTATCAATAGAGTCATACACTAGACCTAGCACAGTGAGTCTCAGAGTTACAATCACACAGTCTTCTGTTTATATTTGGGTTCTACCACTTATTGGCTATGTGCCTTTAAGCAAGGTATTTCACTTCTTGGATTTTAATTTCCTCAACCATGCAATGCTAAAGAAATAGTAATACTAATAAAAATAATGTTCCATGGCAATAATACTAATGGTAATACAAATAGTATATTACTCATAGGATTATTTTGAGGCCATGAAATTTCTTGAATGAAGACATTTATTTATTTATTTATTTTGATAGTTTATATCTATCATTTTTAAACTGACAAATACTAGTAGTGTGTATTTATGGGATTAATGTGATATTTTGATCTTTGTATACATTATAGAAAGTTTCAATCAAGCTAATTAAAATATTTATCATCTATATTACTTTTTGTGGTAAGAATGATAAAAATCGGAGAAATTTTGAAATATCTAATATATTATTATTAGCTGTGGTAACCATGCAGTGCAATAGATTACTAAAATGTATTCTTCCAATTTAACTGAACTTTTAATTTTAGATAGATTTTTGCTATAGGGTGCTTGGGTTCACTGGAGAGACAGAGAGTGACAGAAAGTGATAAATCATCTCTAAGGGGGGATGGCCACATCACAATCTCTTCTCCATTCTTCTCTCAGGATTTTGGGCATGCACACACATGCACCTGGCATGAGTTTTAAGCCACCAGGTCCAGGACTCAAACCACAGTTGACTACAAGAGAGTGCAGTGACATAACCATTACACCATTTCCTGGTCTATTTAACTGAACCACGTTCATTTCAGCACTATTTACAATAGCCAAGATATGAAAGCAATGTAAGTGTCCATCAATTAATAGATAAGGACAATATGGTAATATATAAACAACATAATATTATACAGCCTTAAAAAGTAAAAAATCCTGTCATTTTGTGACAATATGGATGGAAATGGGGGACATTTTTATAAAATTTTTTAAAAAACAGGCATAGAAAGATAAATACTGTATGCTATCACATGTGGAATCCAAGAAAGCTGATCTAATAGAAATAGAGAGTAGAAAGATGGTTACCAGACATTTAGTGCTAATATTTGGTTTCCTATGCCTCAAACTCAGCATTGGGTTAGATACAGAGTATATATTCAAGAAACTGTAATATTTAAAAGGCTGCAAGTTTAAAAATAGTAGTAGTAATTGTGATTGAAATTTTATTCTTACTAATAAAGGTGATGAGACATTTCTGCTACTTAGGGCCTTGGCAATTCTGAGCCTGCTATCCTACTAGGTTTTCAGCCAGTGGCCTATAGGGAGTTGTAGAACAAAGGATTTCAAAGACATACCTTTAGTTGGTGTTCCTATCCAGTTGAGATACCGTGTGAGCTTCGTGGAGATATAAGTCTTGCCTCGAGCTGGTAAACCCACCATGATCACCATCGTGGGAGAATTGGTAAACTGGGGTATGGATGCTGGAAGACAAACAGAGCCTCAAAAGCTCATTCCCAGATTCATATAATCTGGTACTGGCTTAGAGATGTAAAGTTTAAAAATCATCTTTCCCCCATTACAAGAAAGAAAATCTAGAAAACTGCAAATTAATGATTTTTCTTAAACTTATCATAAAACTGGGACCAGCAGTTAGCAAAATGGCTATGTCGCTGGACTACCACATAGTCAACCGTGGTTCAAGTCCTGGACCCGGTGGCTTAAACTCACACCAGGCACGTGTGCGTGCGTGCCCAAGATCCCGAGAGGAGAATGGAGGAGAAGGGACTGCGGCATGGCCATCCCCCCTGGGGGTGTTTTCTCGCTTTCTGTCTCTGTCTGTCTGGCGAGCACACGCACCCTATAGC